ATTTTTTTTTTTTTTTGAGACAGAGTCTCACTTTGCCATCCTTGGTAGAGTGCCATGGCATCATAGCACAGCAACCTCTAATTCTCAGGCTCAAGCAATTCTCTTGCCTTAGCCTCCCAAATAGCTGGAACTACAGGCAGGCATGCACCATAGCACCCTAGTTGTTTGGTTTTTTTTTTTTAGAGACAGGGTCTCCCTCTTACTCAGGCTGGTCTCAAACTCCTGAGCTCAGGCAATCCACCCACCTGGGCCTCCCAGAGTGCTAGTATTACAGGGGTGAGCCACAGCACCTGGCCTTAAAATGTATTTTGAGTAAATCATCAATCACATAGTTTTGGAAATTTCCTATTTGTGTGTGCGTGTGTGCGTGTGTTATTTTCCTTTACCCATGAACTGTGAATTCTTAGAGGGTAGAAACCAGGTCTGAGTCATTTCTGTGTCCTCAACTCAGTTATAGGGCTTGATTCCAGCTATGAATGGATAGGTATTGGGTGGGGGAGTGTCTTAGCTAACAAATGGTGAACGAAGTGGAAGTTGAATAGACAGATGGATATGAGACTACATACTGAATGGATAAATCAATGAATTTTCTTTTTTTGAGACAGAGTTTTACTATGTTGCCCTTGGTAGAGTTCCATGGCATCACAACTCACAGTAATCTCAAACTTTGGGCTTAAGCAAATCTCTTACCTCAGCCTCCCAAGTAGCTGGGACTACAGGTGCCTGCCACAACACCCAGGTATTTTTATTGCAGTTGTCATTGTTGTGTAGCTGGCCCGGGCCAGGTTTGAACCCACCAACTTCAGTATATGTGGCTGGCACTGTAACCACTGTGCTATGAGTGCTGAGCTATGAATCAGTGGATGAACGAATGATGAATAGGTTCAAGTTGGAGGGATAGACAGAGGGCTGGGTAGAAGAATGAATGGGTAAATGAAACTGATGAATGAATTGATGAACAGGTAAGTGAATAAAAAAAATGAACACATAAATGGATTGATGAATGAATGGATAGGTGAATGGACTGATGAGTAGATGGGTGGTGGATGAGTGGTTGGGTGAGTGGCTAGATAAATGGATAGACAGAGAAAGGAATAGGTAAGTGGATGGATGAATGGAGGGAGGGAAGAATAGGAGGCTGGAAGGATAGATGGATAAGTGAATGCATGGATGGATAGATAAATGGATAAGTGAATTGAAGGATGGGTAAACGGGTGGAAGGATAGATGGATATATGAAAGAATGGAAGGATACATGGGTGGAAGGATGGATGAGTAAACAGAAACAGGGATGGATGGCTAGATGGATTGATAAACAGATAAAAGGAGGATGAATGAATGAGTGAATGAATGGGGGGACAGATGAAACATTTGCATGGGCGGAGTGAGTGGGTGGGTGGGTGGGTGAGTGTATGAAAAGATGGAATAATGGGTGAGTAGGAATGTGGATGGATACACGGACAGATGGATGAATGGGTGGGGAAGGGATAAATGGGTGAAAGGATGGATAAATGGATGTGTAGATGAATAGTAGAAAGCTAAATAGATAAATGGATGTGTAAAGGAAAAGAGCTGAAGGGGCTCAGCACCCAAAGCTCAGTGGTTAGGGTGCCAGCCACATACATCAGGGCTGGTGGGTTCGAACCCAGCCCGGGCCTGCTAAACAACAATGACAACAACAACAACAAAAATAGCCAGGCATTGTGGCAGGCACCTGTAGTCCCAGCTACTTGGGAGGCTAAGGCAAGAGAATCTCTTAAGCCACAGAGTTTGAAGTTGCTGTGAGCTGTGATACTATAGCACTCTACTGAAGGCAACATATTGAGACTCTGTCTAAAAAAAAAAAAAGAAAAAAGAGGCTCAGTGCCCATAGCTCAAGTGTTTGGGGTGCCAGCCACATGCACTGAGGCCAGTGGGTTCGAGCTCAGCCCGGGCCTGCCAAACAACTGTGACAACTACAGCAAGAAAATAGACAGGCATTGTGGTGGGCACCTATAGTCTCAGCTTATGGGAAGGCTGAGGCAAAAGGCTTGTTGAGCCCAAGAAACTGAGGTTGCTGTGAGCTATGAATACACCACGACACTCTACACAGGCAGTGAGACTCTGTCTCAAGAAAAAAAAAAAAAAGAGAGAAAGAAAAGAAATAACTTGGGTGCAAAGAGGGTTGGAATGCTGTCAAGCCACCCTGATGCATAGAACACTGGTTTGGCAAAAGCCCCCCTTCACATTAGGCCAGCCAGACCCCAGGCTCTGCCATCCTCTTACCTTGGAGGGTCATAGAGTTGGAGGAGGAGCAGAAGAAGAAGGTGCAGTCTCAGAAGCCAGCCTGCACAAGGAGACAGTCTTCAACCCTTCATCCCATGCAATGTGCAGCAACACTGCCCTGAGCTGGCTCTGTGCTCAACACCAAAAAAAGAAATGTCAGAAGCAAAAAAAGTGAAATTCTGAAAGAAAAAAGAAATTCAATTCCACAAGGACTGAATGTACAAGGAAGTTCAGTCCAGTGTTATTCTGTAGTTAGAAACAAAACAAAACAGGCTGGGGGGCCATAGCACAGTAGTTATGGAGCCAGCCACATACACCAAAGGTGACCGGTTCAAACCTGGCCAGGCCAGCTAAACAACAATGACAGCTGCAACAAAAAATAGCCAGGCGTTGTGGTGGGCGTCTGTAGCCCCAGCTACTTGGGAGGCTGAGGCAAGAGAATCACTTAAGCCCAAGAGTTGGAGGATGCTGTGAGCTGTGACACCACAGCACTCTATGGAGGGGGACATAGTAAGACTCTGTCTCAATTAAAAAAAAAAAAAAACTAGAAATAACCTAAACAGTGACTAGTAGGGGTTCAGCTACAAATGCATAAACAAATATGTTCAAGGATCTTCATCCTTGTGTTCTTTACTTTTTTTTTTTTTTCTGAGATGGAGTCTCACTTTCTCACTCTTGGTAGAGTACTGTGGTGTCACAGCTCACAGCAACCTCAAACTCTTGGGCTTAAGCAATTCTCTTGCCTCTTCCTCCAAAGTAGCTGGGACTAAGGCGCCCACCACACACCCAGCTATTTTTTATTTTTAAAAGAGACAGGGACTCACTCTTGCTCAGGCTGGTCTCAAACGTGTAAGCTCAGGCAATTCACCTACATTGGCCTCCTAAAGTGCTGAGATTACAGGCCTTTGTGTTGTATAGAAGAGTAAAAACAGGAAGAGAATCAAATGCTTATCAACAGACAGGTGCTTTAAATTAATCAATAGAACATTCATACAGGCTC